GCTAGTACTTCCAACACTATGTTGAATAGGAGTGGTGAGAGTGGGCATCCTTGTCTAGTTCCTGTTCTTAAAGGAAAAGCTTTCAGCTTTTCCCCATTCAGGATGATATTGGAAGTGGGTTTGTCGTATATGGCTTTAATTATGTTGAGGTACTTTCCATCTATACCTAACTTATAGAGGGTCTTTGTCATGAATGAGTGCTGAATTTAGTTTTGTTCTAATTTTACACTTACAGAAAAGTTATAAAAATAGTGCAGAGTTTCTGTGTATCTCTCACCTAGCTACCCCTAATGTTAACATCTTACATAACCGTTGTATAGTTATCAGAGCCCAGAAATTAACATTGGTACATTATTGAGAACTAAACTAAACACCGTATTTGAAGTCCACTACGTTTTCCACTAAGTACTTTTTCTGTTCACGATTCTCTACAGGATCCTACATTGCATTTAGTTGTAACTTCTCCTTAGTCTCCTGCACACTTTAACCGTCTGGCTTTGTCTTTCTTAACCTTGATATTTTTGATGAGTATCAATTGTTGTTTTGTCAACTTTCCCTCAGTTGGGATTTGTCTCATATTTTCTCATGATTGAGCTGAGGTTAAACGATTTGGGCAAGAATACCACAGAAGTGAGGGTTAAGGAGGTTGACCTTGATCACTTGGTTAAGGTGGTGTCTACTGGATTTGTGTTCTGTGAAGTTACTGTTTTTCCTTTGCAGTTAATAATTATCTTGGGGAAGATAGTTGAGACTATGAAAATCCTGTTTTTCCTCAAACTTTTATCCACTAATATTAGCATCTATCAGTGGATCTTGCCTGCAGCAATTATTACTGTGGTATTCTAATGGTGAATTTGTACTTCCCTCTTTCTTTCTACACTTGTTCTTAGAATTCTTCCGTACAGAAGAGGGAATTCTTTTCCCTATTTATTTATTTATTTTTGGCAGCTGGCTGGCCTTGGTATTTCCCTGCTTATTTATTCATTATTTATGTATATGGATATGGACTCAGGGATATTTATTTTGTTCTACAGTTTTTAATCTAGTATTTTTATTATTTATTTTGTTGCTCAAATTGTACCATCTCTGCCCATTGGAGCTTCTGTGGTTTGGCTCCTGTGTCCTTTGAACAAGCCCCCATCCTTTTTTGAGTACTTCCCACTTTCTGGCATCACAAAATGTTCTAGGCTCATGTTGTATGTTCCCTGGCTCAGCTGTGGAATCAATTACTTCTCCAAGGAATCCTGGTTCCTTTTATTTTTTATTTTTTTGGCAGCTGGCCAGTATGGGGATCCCAACCCTTGCTTGACCTTGGTGTTGTAACACCAAGCTCTAACCAGCTGAGCTAACTGGCTGGCCCTTGTTCCTTTTGTTGGGGAATGGTGTTTAGAAACCAAGATTTGGCCCTAGGTTACTACCATGATGTCATTTCTTCTAGGCCCTCTCACTGGACAAAGCTAAGAATGATATATCTGTATACCCATGCATTTGCACACATAGCTGTATTTGTGTCTGTGTGTGTCTGTGTATGGATATAGTCATGCCTTTTACAGATATGTCAGATTCCAGTTTAATACCACAGGGTTTATTTTTAGCTTATCTCTTTTCTTAATTGTAACTTTTTTCACCAACAGTGAGAAACCCAGTTCTTATTCTCTATATTATATATGTTTGTTTAAATCTGATATACACATAGTTTCAGAACTACTAACCCATACCTTGTGAGAAGTACAATTTTGACTAGATTATAGCATTTATGTGTAGTTCTTTTTGTCTTTAGCCTCACAGTATCTAGTCAAGATGCTATTTTCTTTTTTTTTTTTTCCGTGTCCGGCAACGGATCGCAACCCTCAGTGTTGCCCCCGTACCGGACCGGGGACCGGCGACGGGATCGCAAGCCTCGGCGTTGCTCCCACGCCTCGCTCAGCCAGTGAGCTCGTATAACTTCGTATAATGTATGCTATACGAAGTTATTACGCATATTACCCCATCTCTTGCAATGATTCTGGGAGCATGATGCTTTCTTCATCCATTTAATTACAAGAAAATCTTCATTTCTATTTTGAACCTGATTTCTTTTTTTTTGATTAAAAAATGATCAAAAATACTTCTGTCTAGGCATTATAGTCTGATTATATTACTTTTAATTTACACCTTGGGATGATTAACATTTGAAATAAATTAATAGAATCAACATAACAGATGTGCTGGGGCACATCTGTACCAGAGGGTATATCAATTAACCAGAGTGATATCAGAAATAAGCTTTCATTGGTGAAATAAATGGTGTTCAAAAAAATAATTGGAACTCACTGTCCTTGTTTTTATGAGACTCACTCTTGTTGTATGAATGAGGTATAAGAAACTGGCAAGCTGAGCATTCAAAGACATTCTGAGCAGTGTTCAGACTCTAAATCCTACCAGTCCTGTGTTCTCCCTACTTCCCAGAAGGCACTATCTCTGGACATAATTTCTGCTTCTGGTTAAGGTGTGGGTCTTCCACTAAACCTATTAAAAACAGGACAAGTGCAATTTTGTCAGAATTTAGTCTAAGATTTACTTTTATAAAAAATTATATAGTACATATTAGTGAAATTGGGAAAAACCTCTGGATAGCCTAACACTGCAGGTGATTAATAGTTAACAAAAGAACTTGACAATTGTGAACCACCACTAGACTGACTTTGATTAGTTTGTGACATTAGTAGGACTGTTGTGAAGATTGAAAGGTAGTAAATATATATTGCTGATAATGTGGCCTGTCATATACTAAAATTTAATATATTTCAGACATTATTAATTTAATCTAACATTAAAGATGATTGCCACTTAGTAAAAAAACTTTGATATTTATTTATTTTTTAAAAATCACAACAGTCTTGCCATCAAATCAAGCTTTCTAATAATGCATTTTATCACTCAGGGTTATTGTGGTAAACAGGATTTCACCAGATGGTTCAGATGAAGAGAGTACTTACAGATTTATGGGCAGATTCAGGATAATACAGAAAATGCCCGCACCGGACTGGGACCGGCAACGGGATTGCAACCCTCGGTGTTGCTCCCACGCCTCGCTCAGCAGCAGACCAAAGTAGCAGCTCCTTTCTTGGCTATTTGACCTTTAAAGCAATGAAGTTACCCTTGTTTCGTTGTCTTGATGTGAGTGGTTTGCTCATTTTGTCCTGGGCAGGGCTTCCTAGACCACAGGTGTGGGCTGATAGTTTGGTACTGTTAAAATAAGACATAGCAGGGCCATTGAAAGTAGTACCAACTGAACTGAATTAGGTCCTACAAAGTTCTTGATTACTTCCTGTTAGATTGCTTCCCTTAGATTCTCTGTTGACCTGGGGTAACTCTTTGACCTAGGTTATTTCAGTCTCCAAAAGCACAAGCTTCTTTGGCTCCTTTTCTTGCTCTTCTCCTGCTCCCTAACTGCGTGCGTGCCTCACCTCACTTGCACCCACCCCTCCCATCACTATGCCCTCCACTCTCCTTTATTTTCTCTCTGTATTTTCTATCCTTTAGTGAACTCACCCACTTTTGTAACTTGGCCTTATAGACTCCAACATCGTCATCCCCAGCTGTGGTCTCTCCTCAGATCCAGGTATATATTTTACACTGGGACTCCAGGCATCTCCACCTGGATAGCCTTCATTTGTTTTTTTTTTGTCCTTTTTGAGACCGGCCGCACCGTGCTCAGCCAGTGAGCGCTGTGAGCGAACCGGTCATCCCTATATAGGATCCAAACCCGTGGCGGGAGCGCTACTGCGCTCCCAGCGCCGCACTCTCCCGAGTGCGCCACAGGCTCGGCCCTGGATAGCCTTCAGATTAAGTGTTGTTTAGAATTTGTATGTAGCAAATGAGATCATTAATTTATACTACCTTTTTTCCTTCTTACTGTCTGCAAACCAATCCTTTTTCCTGATTCCATTACTATAAGTGATACCCAGTCACCAACGCTGTTTTTAGTATCAGTTTGGCTCTTGCTCTGTCTCCAGATCCAAGTTACAAAATCCTGACAGTTTTATCATCATGCTCTCTCTCACAACTACGTTCTTTTAATTTCTACTACAAGTAGCCTTATTTCTCACCTGGAGTTTAGCAAACTCCAGGCAGGATTCCCTGCTCCCCTTCAACCTTCAGTTCATCCTTTAATCCAGAGGTTGGCAAATTTTTTCTATAATGGGCCAGATAGTACAACAGTTTTTTTTTAAAATTATTATTTATTTATTTATTTTTAAAAAGATGACCGGTAAGGGGATCTTAACCCTTGACTTGGTGTTGTCAGCACCATGCTCACCCAGTGAGCAACTGGCCATCCCTATATAGGATCCAAACCCGGGGCCTTGGTGTTATCAGCACCACACTCTCCCAAGTGAGCCAGGGGCCGGCCCTAGTACAACAGTTTAGACTTTTCAGGCTATATAGTCTCTGTCACAGCTCTCAACTCTGCTATTGTAGCCACCAAACTGCCATAGCATACATAAACAAATGGGGTGTTGCAATAAAACTTTATGTATAAACTAGGCAGTGGAGGGCCGGCCAATGGCTCACTTGGGAGAGCGTGGTGCTGACAACACCAAGTCAAGGGTTAAGATCCCCTTACCAGTCATTTAAAAAAAAAAAAAAAAAGGCAGTGGGCCAGATTTGGCCTGCAGGCCATTGTTTGCCAATTCCTGCTTTCAACTGCAACCAGATTAGATTAATCTTTTGTTACTTTTAGATTGGAAGGCACCTTCTGATGAAGGTGAGAGTTCAGTCTCATTTGTACATCTGCAAACCTTCAGTTAACTTCATATTTCGTAGGTTACATTATTCCATTAGCATCTTGATATTCTCCTTTGGAAAAGTACAACACAGCCCAGCCAGGAGTACAGTGGATCTGTTGCTTCTTTTGTCCTATTTCTGCAACCTTAAGGTTGTCATCACTTTTCATGACAACCCTACCACCCTCTGGCTTCATAGTTGTGAGTCTCAAAACAAATGTGATAGGTGTGGATTTGCATTTTATAAGTCTAAAGAGCTAATGTTTATTTCAGATCAACCCCTTCTTATTGACCAAGCAGACCAAAGTAGCAGCTCCTTTCTTGGCTATTTGACCTTTAAAGCAATGAAGTTATCAGTAAGGAAAGAGGAAAATGTATTTAATACTATGCTTATTTTTTGAATACCAAACGAGCTTGGCACGTAGGAGGCATTAAATACCGATTTAATGAATGAGTATCTTCCAACTGTGCTAGTTGTGTAATCTTCTGATGTATGGCTCTGTTTACATCAATGACTGCAGAAAATTCTAAAATAATCCCATATTCTTTGTTTTTCTATATAGTTGGCTCTTTATAGCCCACATGTCAGGCTTTCTATGATCTGGCCCAACCTTCCTGGCTACTCTTCTTCTTCCCAGCCAGACTGGCTCATTTCTTCCCTGAGAAGTGTTTTGTGTTTTCCCAGGTCTGTGGTTTTGGTATATAATTTCCTCCAATTGGAATTTTCTCTAGCTTTTCTCAGTGTTTGCTATATACAACTTTACCTTGTCTTTCTAAGGTCCAGCTTATACCTCCTCCATGAAGTTTTTGCTGCTTGCTGCCTTGCCCAAGAGGTGATCTTTCCTTTCTCTGAACATCCATAGAACTTCGTACCTCTATGGTACATAAATTTTGTTTTGTATTATACAGCATAACTCCATTCTCCTTCTAGGTGATTAGCTCCTTGGACAAGGAATGTAGCCTTTTTATTGTCTGTGCCTAAGTGCCTAGCATAGCATATTGTATGTAAGCACTTGATGAATGTTAACTTGAATGAAACTAGTCTTGAATCAAATTCTTTTTTTTTTTTTAAAAGATGACCGGTAAGGGGATCTTAACCCTTGGCTTGGTGTTGATATCGGCACCACACTCTCCCAAGTGAGCCACGGGCTGGCCCCTGTCCCTCTCTCTTTAGTACTTCTGATCTTTGAAATAGAATAGTAAGAAATAAAAACAAAAGCATGAAACTACCAAATGCAGATTTTGACTCTCTGTAAGAATTTATATTGTACAAACCTGGGTAGTAACAGTAGATGGTAACAGTTTGGGAATGTTAGATCTGCAGAAGTATTTGAACCATGTAAAAACACATGAAGGTGTTTGACTTACCCTTGACATTTTTGTAGCTGCACTCTCTGAGGATACACGTGAATCTGGAACTTGTTCTGAGTGCATCAGATTGTGGAATCTTCCACAGCCACTTGAAGTCACTGGTGATGGGACTGACTCTGCAGTCTAAGGTAGAAAGGATGCCCGTGCCAGGTTCAAAATGGCTAATGAGGGCTGGCCAGTTAGCTTAGTTGGTTAGAGTGTGGTGCTGATAAACACCAAAGTCCAGGAGTTCCATCCCTATACTAACTAGCTGCCAAAAAAATAAAAAGGCTAATGTACTTAATTCCTTTGTTCACTTTAAAATATTTGATGTATTAAGTATGCATTTTGTATATTTTAGTATTTCGAGCATTGATATACATTTTGTTTACCTTATTAAAAATTCTTTTGTTTTTAGGCTCTTGGATACTAAATTGATGGCCAGCACACAACCTTTTAAGGTAATATTTAAATTTGAACTACCATTGAGAGGCTATTGTTTGAAATTTTCTGAATTACCATTAAGAACTTTGGAATTGTGGTCTATTTAAATGTCCTTTTGAATACACCAAAAAAAAAAAAAAAGAAAGAAAGACAAAAAACAGAGAGAAAACATTGGAAAAAGACAAGAAATAAATACTTTCAGCCCTCCATATCTGTGGGTTCTGCATCCCTGGCTTCAACCAATTGAGGATTGAAAATATTTGAAGAAGAAAACAAACAAACAAAAACAACGAAGTATAACAGCTATTTATTTACCTAGCAATTACATTGTACTAGGTATTACCAGTAATCTAGAGATGCTGTAAAGTATACTGGAGTATGTGGGTAGGTAATATATTATATGCAAACACTGACATTTCATATCAGGGACTTTAGCATCCACAGATTTTGGTATGGGGTTTGGTGGGGAGAGGGGTCCTGGATCCAATCCCTCAGATTCCAAGGGATGGACTGTATATTAAAAAGTGAGTAATGGTTTTATGTGGGTGGGGGAATTATGTTCTTTTCTCCTTTATTCTTTTTGAATATAAGTTTTTAATATTAAAATATGTAATTTATTTTTGAATAGATTACACATGCACACGGTTTCCATTTTTTGATTTTATTTTCCTTATTTTATATGTTTTGGATGTATTTTCTAATCAAGAAAATTCGGGTAAAGGTATAATCATTTGTTGTTTTATGAGGTGACTTTATAGAAGTGAATGAAATGAATACCAGTAGCTTTCTGGCAAAAGATCTGTAAGTATTTAACACATCTGTGAAAACCTTCTTTCATTTTGTTATACTTAACATACCTCTGTAGAGAAAATTAAATCTGCTGCTTCTCTTTCACATTGAATAAATTATGACTTCTGTGTTTCATTAAAGAACACAAGGGGGCAGTACTAGATGTCTTTTTTTTTGTCCTGATAGTGAATATTTTTGATATATGTTGCACTGAGATGAGGAAGTCTTATAATTCTCTGCTTCCTTGTTTGCAGGATATCATTAACAACACATCCCTTGCAGAATTGGAAAAGCGGTTAAAAGAGACACCTTTCAACCCTCCCAAAGTTGGTAAGAATATTAAACAAACTTGAAAACTCCCAAACTCTTTGTGATAATTATTGATGTATATTATAGAAGAAAGGGGAAATGGCTCTAGAAACCATATTGCACATTTATACATTTTGGCTAACTTGCTCGTGCCCTGTGTTGAATTACTGTTTTGTGAATAAAGATGGTCTTCTAAATTCTGCATCTATTTTATGTTAATAGAGTTGGGTACCAGATTAATTGAGAAGTTTAGCAATTAAATCTTCAAGGTTTTTATTTCCTAATACTTGGAATTGTCCCGAAACTTAATGTGTCTTTTTCTGTGGCATATTGATTAAAGAGACAAAGAGTTGGTGATTAATCACCAGGGGTAGAATGTAAATATATTTTCTGTCTCAGAAAAGCCCAAGAACTGGGTTTACAGAGTTGAGATTAAGGAAAGTCCCCACCCCTGCCACCTTTTGAGCTGGCTTACAGAAACAACAACATTGAGGAAAACCAGAAGTGGGGAGAGTTTTTTTTGTGAGATGGAGGTGTTTTGCCACTTCTGGCCACTACCCAGGTATATGGTGAGCCTTCCAGGTGCTACTTCCTTTGTGTCTGTTAGACTCACAGTGCTGCTGATGCTGTAATTAGCATTCCATTAGCTGTAGCCTGAAAACTTCTATATTTAATAATAGGACTAATGGTTCAGAAATTGATAATGGAAGATATTAAAGCAGCCAAGATTATACTTATTTGCTTTCCTTTCTGGCTAATAGTCCAAAAAAGGAATTAAGAAGAGGGGTGTTGGTGGAGGAAAGAAAACCTAGACCTTTTCTATAATATAATGGAAACAATTGATTTTGGAAATAATGTTTCAGCTGGTGGTAGAGTAGAGGATATTACTTAAGTGGCTACCATGTTAAAAGGCTTTTTTTTTTTAAGCTTCAAGTCTAATATTTAATACAGTGGTTAAAGAATTCTTGCTTAAAGAGCACTGTATTGACATGGAACAGTTAACAGCCTGTTTATTGTTAATTTCCATTCATGCTTTTGATTCTATGTTGTAGTAACCTTCTTGACATTCATTTCCAGAATGATTCTAGGAAATAATTATTTATGGATTATAGTTTTATCCTATTATTTTCATATAAAATTCTGTATTATACAGAATTTAGTTTAAAAAAGGTCACTCAGACTTTATCCTTTTCACATTTGTGTATATCAGTGTCACACACACAAAAATCATGTTATAAAATGATCTTTCCTATGAAGTGGCTTTGTGATCCAAGGGCAGTATTATAGAATTTAGTTTAAAAAAGGTCACTCAGACTTTATCCTTTTCACATTTGTGTATATCAGTGTCACACACAAAAAAATCATGTTATAAAATGATCTTTCCTATGAAGTGGCTTTGTGATCCAAGGGCAGTATTACAAGTTCTGATCTATTTTTGGAGTTTGTTATGCTGTCATCTTTAGATCTCTAAGCTTGGAAACATAGTAGAGGACAGTACTGAATTTGAACTACCAATATTGAATTGGAGGCTTGTTTTTTGGCCAGGTTTACCTGAGGTATTGATAGGTAACACTTACTGATCAGTTACCATGAATCAAGCACTAGGTAAGAGCTTTACTTACATTACTTCTCTCATTTGATACTCACAACACCCTCAGGAGTGTTTGATTATTGTTTCCATTTTACAAAAGTGGAGGCTCAGAGGTAAAGTGACTTGCCCGAGGTTACATAGCAAATAAGTGGTGGAGGAGAGGTTCAGACTCAGTGTGACTCCAGAGTCCATGCTGTTTATCTTTATACTGAGGTATCTGTTGTGTTCTGAGGTCATCATCATATATAAGGGAAGAGTTTCCTTTTCAAGACCTAAAGAAACAATCAGAAGAGGAATAATTGTAATAGAGCGAATTACGGGGAATCATAAATAGCACCTACCAATGTGAGATGTGGAGGCCCATGGCTTAGTCTTTAGTAATGTAATAGGAATTTCTGTAGTCTAGATCAAAGCCCTCATTTTCAGTGACTCTACTATCTTATATTATAAGTTCTTATATGGAGAGTCTTAAGAAATAAGTAGCTTTTTTCCTGCTTATTTAGGATATTTCTGCAGCACATACTAATGCAATTTGGATTTGGTAAGGCAAAGTGCTTACTAGTCTTCATGTTTTGCGATGTCCTGGGGAAAACTTTTTTCAATTTTTCTCTGTAGAAAGTGCAGAAGGTTTTCCAAGTTATGACACAGCTTCTGAACAGCTCCACGAGGCAGGCTATGATGCTTATATCACAGGATTGTGCTTCATCTCCATGGCAAATTACCTAGGTACTCATTATATGTGTTTCTGTGAAACAGACTGTGATCTAGAGTCAATCTTACCTGTCTTTCTGTCTTAGTCAGCTCCGGCTGCTGTAACAAATTACCATAGACGAGGGGGCTTAAACGACAGACATTTATTTCTCATAGTTCTGGAACCTGGGAATTCTAAGATCAAGGAGCTGGCAGATTCGGTCTCTCGTGAGAGCCTATTTCACGTTTGCAGACAGCTGACTTCTCTTTGTGTCCTCCCGTGGTGGAAAGCAGAGAGGGAAGAAGCTTTTGTGTCTCTTTTTATAAGAGCACTAATTCTTATGTCTCTTTTTGTAAGAGCTCCTCCCTCATGAGCTAATCACCTCCCAAAGGTCTCACCTCCAAATACCGTCAATTTGGGGCTTCAACATATGAGTTTTGGGGGATCACAAACATTCAGTCTATACCACTACCATTTTCCTGGGATCCACTCACCCAGTTAGAAGTGGGAGGGTTGCAGGTTAAAAAAAAAAAAAAAAAAAAAAGGGGGGGGGTTTTGAGGTAGGAGTTGGAAGAGATGAGGGAGGGGGAATAGGCAGAGAGGACCCTCTGACACTTAACCTGCAGTGTAGTACTTGGCACATAAGAACACTTTTACCCTTATTGAACCATACTGTCAATTTAAATATGTTTTCATCTGACCTTTTGGGCTTTGTCTACTTGACTATGTCTAATACCCTGCTTCTTTTCTTCATTAGGTTCTTTTCTCAGTCCTCCAAAAATTCATGTGTCTGCCAGATCAAAACTCATTGAACCTTTTTTTAACAAGTAAGTAATCAGAGCATCCCAATCCCCAAGTTCTCTCGCTGTGGAAGAGCCTAGTATATTGGGATATCAAGCTGGGATGACTGGGAGCTGTAGTGCATTTTTAGATAAAATATTTCTTAGCTCTAGTGACTCAGATGTTTTTGAAAATAGAAACTGACCTTTTGGGAAATAATTTAGTAAGTGTAAGGAAAAGCACTGGTATCTAAATTACCTGCAAGGGAGATGTGTGTGTAGTTAGACCTAACCCCTAACAAACTCTACATGTGAAATTATTATTTATGCTTGCATTATTATCTGATTAAATAATATTGTTTCTAAGAAGATGTTGATTATACAAATGACTTTTAAGATTGTCTGTGAAGGTTTGATTGTCACTGTATCCTGAGCCCTTATCTGAATGCATCCAGTGAAGAAAAGGCTTGCTCACGTACCTTCACTGTTGGAAGAAGTCTGATTTAGGGAGAAGTCTTAAGTTCAGAGCATTTTTAAAGAATCTCAAGATTAGTACTTCAAAGTGTGGTTTGTGCTTACTTGGCAAAGTTGAGACTAAAGTTAGGGATGTGATCTTCAAGGAGAGCACAGCTGGGCTCTATGTCAGAGCCCTAAACTTTCATCTTTACCCCAGCTCTCTTAACAGGGTTTGTTCTAGGAGAATCTGGGAGAGCCAGGCAGAACAAGGCAGCCCACAACCAGATTAAGAATACTGTCTCCTTAAGTTGTCTGTATACATGCTAGTATCACAGTGCGTGTACTTGGGTAGCATGCTGCAGAGTCAGATGTTGATTCCAAACATCTGGATTCCTACAGGTTCTGAATTCGTGAATTTTATCATATTATGGCTTCTTCTTTTTTTTTAATCTTTGATCTTCTTTTCCATGGAAGTTCAGAGGTGAATGTGTATGACTTTCTAAGTGGACTGGGTAATAGTGTGGTGTATATTAGAAATGAAGTTTTCTGCATGGAAAATTAATCCTGCTAACCACTGAGTCCTTGCTGTCTATCCAGTTCCTTCAGGGTAAAAAGGATTTTCATAGCTCTTAACTCTTATTTTAGGGTCATTGTTTATCTTGGTAAATCTTTGGAAAGGTAGCTTATGCCATAGACCATGGAACCCACAGGTGACACTGAGTATGGTTCGCATCATGGCTATTCCTTACATTTTTATGTATATGGCGTTAAATTGATTGTTCTACAATATTTTTCAACTGAGAGATGTTTATTCATTTGTAAATATTTAAAACAATGATCTTGCTTCTCCAGTAAAATCAACTTCTTATAAAATCAGCTGCTGGATACATTCTAGGTTAGATATAGGCTGCATCTAGTTTATCAGACATATATGTGACCAGCATGCAGAGCAATCAAAATATACTTTGATTAAAAAGCTTAGCTAAGGGCTGGCCCCGTGGTGCATTCGGGAGAGTGCGGCGCTGGGAGCGCAGCGTCGCTCCCTCCACGGGTTCGGATCCTATATAGGAATGGCCGGTGCACTCACTGGCTGAGTGCAGTGCGGGCGACGCCAGGCCAAGGGTTGCGATTCCCTTACCAGTTACGAAAAAGACACACACACACACACAAAAAAGAAAAAGCTTAGCTAAGACTTTCTGTATTTTCAGATTAACCTAATATTGTTAATATGGTGCAAGACCTATTATTCATAAGAACTAGACAGTAAATATATAGCTTCATTTTAAATTTCTGCCCATTCAGAATTTTTTTTTGCTGAAACCTAGATGCATACCAAAAATAGTTCGAATAAAGGTAGAATTCAGAAATCCTCCTGTGACGGTGCACTAAAAATTCCTGCCTGACTTGAATTTTTGATCTGTTTTTCCCCATCTATAAAGGAAGAATGTTTCCTTCTTTTGAAGGCAGAAAATTTCAGCAGGATTTGAAATGTGAAATAAAAACATTTTATTATTCTGTATTGGAATAACTTGGTCAAGTGCGGTCATTCATTCTTAACCCACTTAGAAATTGGGAAAGGCATTTGCTTCTTTTGACATCTCTTAATACGTTAGTATTGATCTTATTCTTAGTTGCACGTGTGATTTATGACATTAAACTCTGATTTTTGTCATTTTTCAGGATTACTCTTGTAGAAAAACATTCTATAGTTGCCCCCAACATTACCTTAAGCTGATGATTTCAGAAAAATATGGAAGTTTTTCTGAAGGTTAATGTATTTTGACACCAGGCTTTTCTAAATTTAAGCTTTACCAAACATGCATAGTCCTAACATAAATTTGGATGAACATCAAACTGCCAACACATGCGAATGATATTTTGTTCTGCTCTCACCAGATTTATGTTGAAAAAGTAGACCTTGAGGGGAAATAATCTCCAACTATTTCTGCATTATTCTAAACTAACATTTAGCAGTATCAGTTATGCCTTTTTGGGAAGCTTCATTGAGTCAGCTATTGAGAAAATCCCTAGACAGCTGGTGTTTGAACAGTGTGCAAATATCAGATGTAATATAAAGTGTTTTCTAAGCTAAGCTTGTCTAGAAGAATGTCCCATGAGGATTTTGCATGGTGTCTTTTACATGGTCTAGGCACCATTCATATGCCTCCTTGCTTTGCTGGAATCAGGATGAAAGTCATAAGAGAGGTTAGCCATGGAAATCAGGATGAGACCACTGCTAATGATAGGCTGCGTGAAATGTACTCTTTATTTATGTTAGAGGCTCTCTGGTTAGGAAATGATTTACCTTCTTTTATAACCTTGGTCGGTTTTAATCAATGCATGCAAAACCAGTCTTAGAGAAGATCCTTTGGTCAAATTCTTTTAGTCTGGAAAGAGCTAAAAATATTCTCTGCTTTTGCTTTTATTGTACCACAGATAGCACAAAATCAGAGTTTTTGCCTTATGTCTTATTATGTCATCTGTTTCTCAAGACACCTTGAACTCTCTTGTAGATAACTTTTATGAAGGTTTTTTGGGGAAGATTGTTTTCCATTTACCACAGTTCTTAGAAGGAGGAAGGAAATGAGCAAGTCTCTTATTCTAACTATTATCTGTAAGTAATGGAGTTTAAAGGGAAGAGGTATGTGCCTTCAGTTTACTGTACAGGATTGCTGCCTTGTTCTTTATGCAAGTGTTCTGAATCGGAACAGAATTCTGCTGGAAATCTAGATCTTCCTGGGATGACAGTGCTTTATGTTTGTTTCTAAGCTACTGAAGAGGAGACAAGCCATAACAAGGAGTGACATGCTCTTAGACAAATTGTTTCCTCCTCTGTAAAATGGGGGTAAAACTATTTGCCTTCCGTGGAGGTTATAAGGATTGTATGAGATGCGAAAAAACTTTGATATTTCCTAGAACTTAATACGTACCCAGTATATATTATTTTCCTTTCTTTAAAATAAGGGATTGGTGGGATTGGGGAGATGTTGGTCAAAAGATACAGAATTTCAGTTAAGAGGAATAAATTTGAGAGATCTATTGTGCAACATGGTGACTATAGTTAATTACAATGTAATGTATTATAGAAAATTGCTGAGAGTAGATTTTAAGTGTTCTTACCACAAAAAAGTATGTGAGTTAATGCATTTGTTAATTAGCTCATTGTAGCCGTTCCACAGTATACATATATTTCAAAACATCATGTTGTACCACATAAATATATACAATTTTTATTTGTTAATTTAAAAATAATGAAAAAAATATATGTGAGGATCTAACATAACTAGCAGATTTAATGAAAGTAGATGTAGCGGAATGTGTTTTATATTTTTAGTTTAATGATAAAGAAGAAAGTTTGTTATCATGTGATGTGGACATAAAATTGGAGTACAGTGACAGCAAATGTGAAAGCTTTTGCTTGTACCTACCCTTTAGTGCTTCACATGAAAAATCAGATGATTGTGTCAGAATGGCACATAATGGGTGCAAGATTGCTTTGATTTAGAGCATTCAAAAAAGTTTGTTATTTAAATAAATATAATGCAGCCGTTTATGTAAGGTTGTATAGGTATATGTATATATCAGCTATAAGTACAGAGGGGAGAGGAGCCTTTACAGTGCCTGAAATAAAGCATGCTAATGTTTTCTCCCTTTTTCTCCATGGAAAGCAATCGTGTGCTGGCAGCAAATTGGGTTTTTCTTATACTGTGCATGTGCTTGATATTTAACATCAGAGAGATTTTAAAGTGAAGGATTACAAGAAAAGAAGATAATAAAGATCAGAGCTATACCTCTTTTCTTCCCAGCCCTCTCACTGGTGATAGAGCAACTCTTATTTACTGTTCACTACCGTAACTGCCGTTCTTTCCAGCAGCACGGTATGCAAGGTCACTAGTGGGTTGTTAATGGCCCCCACGTGTCCAGAAGTGCAGACTCCAGACTCAGCTTTTATCTCCAGACAGTATTGCCTAATCACCTGCAGGGAAGCCCTCACTTAACCTTCTCCTGTCCTGCGTGTCCCTCCCTCATAAAGAGGAATGGGATAAATTAAGTCTGTTTTGAGTGCTGCAGTAATCCCACCTCCCCACTCCATGTGACTTCCAACTTCCCAACATAAACATGAATTGTAACACAGTTTGTACTGTTGGTAGGCACATAGCTGTTAGTGTCATAACACTCCACAGGATTGGTTTCCATTTGAATTTAAAATTTAAAAAGCTATTTGATTGATTCCTTCAGTAGAATTGCTTCACGTCAGGATATCATGTAGTGTGGTATAGTACAGTTGAATCCCATCTCCACTCATTACCTGTGTGATCTTGAGCAATTTACTTACCCTCTGTGTGCCACAGCTTCCTTATCTGTAAATAGAGAATATTAGTACCTGTTTGATAGGGTTGTTGTAAAGGCAAAATGAGAGAATGTATGTAAAATGCACAGTGCCTGGCACATCATGGGCCTCAGTCAACTTGTCACTGCTGTCACTGCTGTGATGATGTTTACACTGAGGCAACTTCTCTGACCAGACGCTGGGAGCAAAAGGGGGACTCTTTTGTTTTCGTAGAAGATGCAATTTAACCATACCTTCTGCC